CGTATCCACTAGCTACTGGAAAGCTTCACCCAAATGCCATCGCCAGGCATCGATACTCTTCCTTAGTACCATTATTAGTTATTCGTATTACCTCTGGCACATGTGTTTAGCACCAGCCAATCTTCGTAGGCGCGTACCAGCTCTGCCCATATCCGGAGCCTGAGACGAGCCACTGCTTTACTCCTCTCTGGGACTGCGTGCTTCACATACATTTGCTGACTATTGACTTATTCCGCGACACTTTACGTATGCACTAGCATTGTTAAGTCTTCAAACCAATGCCATTGCCAGCCGTGGAAACTCTCCCTCCCTTTGTACCATTGTCAGTTAATTGTATTACCTACGTTACCACATTTCAGCTGCAGCGAGTCATTGTAGGTAGCATTGATCTTTGCTCCTGGAGTCACACCTTATCTCTCCAACACATATTCACTTAAATTGTTTCCATCCCACCTTCGCTGGTTTGTTGCCTCCTTCTGTCACTGTAGGGATCCGCTGGTAATCAGTTGGCTTAATTCGAATGCCTTTGCTGGCCACTGATACTCTTTAGCATACCGTCACTATCTGTCGCTTTTCTTATCTTACTCAACACTGCGGCAATTCCCCGTAAGCTCCATGTCCCTTCTGCGCAGATCTTCAGCTTGCTAGGATACAGTCCTTGTCTATCCATCATATATTCTCTGGGTATTTTTGTATCACTTACCTACGCTGGCTTATTGAGGCATTCAGTGACCCATTAGGAATACACTGGTGCCCAAGCGTCTGAGTGGAATGGCTACATCTGGTGATGGATAGTCTTTCCTAGTGCTACCAACTGTCGGTCGTCTTAAATTCCGCACCTCTGTTTAGAAGCAGCCAGTGGTCATTGGCTCCATGCATATACTATTATCCAGCGCTGGTTAGGAGCCAGTCCGTATCTCAATAACCTTTATTCCTTTAGAATATCCGCATCCCATTTTTCCGCTTCCCTATCGTCAATTAACCTTCCAATCTCCCTCGCGGCGAACTATTTATTTTCACTTATTCTGCGCTCCCTATCGTATTGCGCTAGCTACTTGCTGTTCATTCAACCTTGCAATCACAACCAATATTCTAACTCTAACCTACACCCTGTTGGCCGCCAATATGCGGTTAATCAGTGGTTAATGTGCCAACTTCAGCGTTCAGCGTTCGCCGCTGCTAGCTTTTCCGTTGCACTTCCGGTCACTGCATCCGCTGTTAATAAGTGACTTTTAGAACTTCTGTGCATCCATGTTACCTATATGCTTCAGCTGCAACTGGTGGTCAGCATGCACTACACCGTTGTCGCCGCTATCAAGTCGGTTGCATATCCGGTAAGTGAACCCTCCGTTAGCAACTGCATTTTATAGCACATGTCAATCTGCGCTGCCTAAAGGTTTCGTTCGGCACTACTGGTAAGCCCAGATGTCACCATTACCGCGGCTATGAAGTCCGTTTCACCTGCGGTAACCGTCCGCTATTAATAACGTAATTTTATAACGGCTGTCTATCCATTCTACCTATATGGTTGATCCACTACTGCTGGTCACCCTCCACGTCCCCTTTGCCTCTGCTACCTTGCCCGTTTCACCGGTTACTTCTTCCGTTGTCAACTAGTGGATTTTAGAGAAGCCGTACCTCTGCGCTGCCAATATTGTTAATGCGCCAATATTCGTTTGCCTCCAGGTCACCTTTGCCGCCGCTGTCAACTCCGTTGCACGTCCGGTAAGTCTATCCCCTGTTAATAAATGGCTTTCACATCTGCTCCGTATCCATGCGGCCTGTATGGTGATCCGTTGCTACTTTTTGGACTCCCCGTGTTCTTTGCGTGCCCTGTACTTCGTTGGAGCTCCGAGAAGGTGCATTGACTCCTCACTATTGCCTTGTAGGACACCTGTAAATCTTTGACAGATGCGCCATTAATGGTATTTCCCCACGACATCTCTCCTGCAACATAGATAACCCGTCGCGCCGGCAGTCAGTTGCTTGGCTGCTAACGAATGCTTTTGCAACTCCTAGGTATCTGTTCTGCTTGCATTACTGATCCGCCACTAGTGGTCAGCATCTACGTCACGGTTGCCGCCGCTACGTACTTCCTTTCACCTACGTAACTGTATTAGGTACCCTAATGGGACTTCTGCTACGGCAATCTATTCGTCATTCTTAAATGCGTGAGGCGCAAGTACCGCTCTGCCACGACATCACATATGCCGCCCCCATCTACTCCGTTGCACGTCCCGTAAGGGTACGGGATATTAATATATGTCTTTTAGAACACCTGTCTCTGTGATGATCACTAGAATGATGCAGCACTACTAGTTTCCCGGCATGTAACATGTGCTGCCGCGTATATACTACGTTGCACCTCTGGTACGTGCATTGCTTTTTCACTTTTTGCTTTCAAAACCGCTGCCCAACCCTGGAGCCTACAATAGCGATCAGCCATTGCTGGTAGGCTTCCAATTTACATGTGCCAATGCCGAAATGCTTCTTAGGACGTTACCTTGGTGTATGAATCTGTAACACGTGGCTTTCAGAACGGGCGCATATTCCCTTCGTATGCATGACTACTCTGACCGTCACTTTGTTTCCGGAGTTATGCACAAATCCATGGGTATGTTCAGCACTGTGTATTTCACGACAAATTTTCACGTGACATTTCTTTTAAACATTATTACATAATTATACTGCATTACGTGCTCTTCTATCAACTGTCCGGTTCATATTGATTTCGTATTGTCAACTTGGTTTCTGATGAGGCATCCGAAAACATTTCTCAGTGTTCACCCTTGGTGGGTTCAGGGCTAACTACACGCTCACTCACCTAGTGCTGAATACTTCTGAAAGGTCCAAACGTCCGTCATGTTCATTGCATCTGGTTTGCCTATGTAACGAACCATTTACATCCACCGCCGCTTCCCACTATAACGTTACCCTGTGTGGTTGTTTCCCTAGCAAATATCCTTAATACAAAACAACTACCACGTCGGGTAATACATGACATCTGTGCAAAATATTGGACGTAAATGCAGTAAACCGATAAGTATATGCATTGCAGCCACAGCCTGTCCGCCATGCTGTGTGCGGAGCGGTGACAATTTGAAAACACAGAATTATAGAAAAAGGTCGTACAACACAGGTGTTTCCCAGAAGCACATTACCGCGGTATGCAATCTGCTGCTGTAGAACCATGCACCCCGGCGTATTCACCCAGTTGTCTAGTTTACCGGCTAACGTAAGTCCCGAGGAAAGCATGCAGCAATCAACGGCTTATTCACATGCTAACCTCTATTAGACATTCATGTCACGGAATCCCTACATTTATATATGCAAGAATTCTTCACCAGCACATATATATATTCACGTGTGCATGCATTTCTTTAACTATGTATATACATATATCCAATTGTATGCATGTGCATGTACACAAACATTAAATATATATATATATATATATATACATAAACATATGTGGCATATAAAGTGGGACAGACCTATATATATACATATATATGTATACATACATATACATGCTTGTATACATAAATATGGTTGGCGGCACTCCGGTTGCCATTTGGCTGTCCCTGTGGCAAGGCACACGACGCATGCGCTTGCTGAGGGACTATGGATGGCTTGCCCTGCAACACCCACAGCTCCATCCACACTCCATATGCAGTGTACACCGGAGGGAATAACACCACGAGGCATGTGCATGTGAGGCACCTACCATCAACGGCCGCCAACACCCCTTCACAGCGAAGGCAAACACCCTGTGTTTCGGGCAATGAAACGCACAGAAGGCAGTGCTTGCACCGTAGTCCGCTCCTCAATCAGTGCCTGAAACCACTCTTAGATGCCGACACCGCGCCGGTTCCGCTTACCTTCTCTGCAGGACCTGCACATATGTATACGGGTAGACATATATATATGTAAATATACATCTTTATGTAGATGTGCTCTCTTCCATTCAGAACCACACGCATGTCCTGGATTCCACATGCGCTACTCCGTCAGTACACAGTGAATGCAATTCGTTATGCCTGTTAGTGAATGGCATAGAAGCCATCAAGGCTTATCATTTTAAACTACTGCGCAACATCCTGCATGTCATCGGTCAAATATGGTGCAAGAAATGCCGAGGTACTGTACAGCCGAGAGGCCGTGTGTGCCACAAAACGAATGAAACGTACCATAGGACGAAACTCCCTGCGTTCTTCCAAGCAAGCGGTACCCCTACACCACCTTCAGACGAGCCCACGTACCCATCTGCGATAGACTTTTCACAGCGAGTTCCGTCGGTCACTGGCGTGTCTGTTGGCGAGACCGCGGTCCGTCCTACAGACACTGACATGCCTGTGCGTGATGGCTCAGGCGGTGAAGGCTAACATACATATCTACACATATATATATATATACATATAAATGTGCCCCATGCTGAGGCTGTAGTTCCCTTCTTGATGCTTCTTCAGCGCAGTTGGGCTAAACCAACTTGCACTTAAACTACTTTTTTTAGGCTGAGTAAATTTCATTTCACTTCGTTTGGTTTCTTCTGCATACCTGATTAATGTTCCAATAACTCGCCATGTTGCTTACGTTAATTGCCCTTATCTTCGGCGCTTTCGTTGCGTTTACAGCATTTATAAGCAAGTTATGGACATTTATTACTTATCACGGATTCCTCGCTAAGAAAATTACTTCTTATGGTAATTTAGGAAACAGTTCAGCCACGGTAACTGTATGCATTTTTGCATTTATTCCTTTTCACCTTGTCGTTTAAAGTGAATGGCGGTTGCTTTATACACCCCGTGTGGCTGGCCTTGTTGTGCATGGTGACCACGTGCATAGCTATCTATTACCCACTATCTCGTCCATACTGGCTCCAGGGGACAGTTGGTCGTTACTAGAGGGGACGGGGTGCACGGTCTTCGTGGTCGTGCTACTCTCGAAGAGTCGTTCCATGCACTCAGTGTGCAGTGGACTACGGTCCAGCCACCACCTAATGTGCGCTTGATTCCCCAAATACAGCGTCATTGTGTTTCCCTGTGAAGGATTGTGCGCCGGGTCCTTTGATAACACCTGGGTCCCTTCCACATGCCCGCGGTCTTATTCCTCCCGCTTTACGGATATGGGGTGTGTGCATGGAACTGTGGTTGTTGCAGCGCAAGCCTTCCACGGTCCCTTTGTACGCGAACCACTCCTTTGCCTGGCCACAGTGACAGGCAAACCCGAAACCGCATGCCGCCAACAATATAGGGATTGTGATTATTTAACATTGTTAACGCTGTGCTCGCACTATCAGCTTCTTGGTCACTGTCACGCAAATAATGTTAACCAGCAACCTTCCCATAACCTTTGTTATACTTGTCAACTGCCTAAACACTTGAGCACGTTTATCACTGGTTATGAAAAATATATATATATATATATATATATATATATATACATCCCCTCATCTACAAAAGACGGATGGACACATATATATACATACCATATATATATATACATATATATGTATATATATACCTATATACCTACACTATGATCTCCATATATATGTATAAATATACTAATTTACACATTTATTTTCGTATATATATATATATATATATATATAGCTTACATGTACGCCTTCTAATATTCCGCTTACCTACCCACTTTTGTATCTGAACACATACAAACCTATTCTTATTTGCATGGAGCTTCCCAAACACATATACATACCTAAACAATTTTAACGCTTGCAAAACGTCTTCTTCACTGACACAAACAACAAACCTTATTCCGTGTATCCTAATGCAATATTACCCATTTATAGGCGAAAACATACAGTAATAGAAGATGTTGGTCAATCATTATTCATTATCACATTTCTGCATGTTATTCCGTATCTAATTAACCATGCACATAGTGAGGCTTTTGTAATAACAGTTATTTCTTTCTTATTTCTGCAGATTCTCACCATCACATTTACTTCCAGGTTATTTTCAAGGCATAATCCGTAAATTCCACAATTATTATTTATGCATCTCCGTTCATTAGCATCACACAAAATAAATAAATTGCCTTAAAATGTTGCCTTTCAAGTCATCCATGTGCAACATCACTGCAATTAACCTTCCGTGTAGATTTCTCACCCTTCCACCTGCTGCATTGGGAAAGGTCATTTCCGATTATAATATACAGACAGTTTCTCTACCAATGCATGCAACAATTCAACACATTTCTCAAACAAAAATAATGCTACATCTCGTAAACAATTTTTTAGCGCATTCCCATCCCTTGATTTTCTGCCACCATTATGACCTTACTCACTTTAACCACGTTACCTCAGTAAAATGTGTACACAAGATGCCCTATGTATTACTAATAAACGATTTGCAATTATTTATGCTATCTAACCTCAGTATTGTGAACGCCATTTAGTAAAGTCGAAAAACAGATGTACCAGTTGCCACCACAAAAATTTAAATTTAACCGCCGACCTGGCGGCAAACGGTCCTGTTGTTCGGGAGTTGTTGTTTTTAATTACGCGGTCATTATAATTCAATATTTTAAGCAACACAACCTAAGAAATGACAAGTATTACAATATTCAAAGTCACTACAGTACGCCAGTAGATGCTGAAGTTTCCATAGGCAAGGAACCGTTTGTAGTCAACAAATTTGCAGTCATGATAAATGAGCTGTCATTCATTGTCACCACCAAACTAAAATCCCTACAACAAGAAATAAACAATCCTAAACGTAAAACAGCCTTTTTCGCCCATGCCGATATGGTTATTGGGCAAACTGAACTGCTTACGGTCTTAACGCATGAAGCTGAAATCCAACAAAAGACGCTTAAAGAATGCTGCCATTTTCACCTTTACCGCTACAGTCAAAACACTTAGCGGAGTGGGTTGTGCTAACAACGCAGTTGTAGTTAAGGTCTCCGACAGAATACCTCGCGCAGCAATTCAAAGAATATTACTAGAAGTAGGATCTTTGGACAACTTGCAATGCACCTATACACGACTCAGGAAAAATACAGCGACACGATTGTCCTATAGTTTTGCTATGCTGCTATTGCCAGCAGCTTTATTAAACGAGGAGATAGTATGGCGCAAAACATCACTTGCACAGTGATAAGAGAGTAGCTGATTTCACTTATTTGCAGAGAGAAAACAGGCAAGGACCATTCCTTCCAACCCTTGGTCATGTGACGAAGCTCCTCAAAGGTTGTAACCTATGTGCCATATGAAGTCATCGGCCTGAGTGCCATGAACTGTTCGCCGCCTCAACATGTCCACAGGAGACCACAACCGTTAAGGACAGGAACCCTGTTTGCTCCAGTCCATTTTCCAATGGCCAGCCACTGACCCCATTGGTCCTGTGCACCTGAACTCGCAAATGCATGTCCATCAACCTCTGCCGCAGAACGTCGCGTGACGAAACTCAAGAGCAGCACGCTGGCGCCAAACAACAGCCCTCATACAGTTAAACGGACCAAATCTCACGGACTCCACTGAAACTCCGCAAAAAACAAAATAGACCATGTGGGTACATAGAGTTCAGCCATCAACATCCATCCCACTGCTATGCCAGCTTCTCAGCTACGTACTATATGGGTTGATCTCGATAGCTCTCGCACAACACCCAACAACCACGTGACTCCTGTACCACCTATCAACTAGGTCACGGAATAAGCAATCCACACTAAATCGTCGTATTGCAGCAACTCACAGCTTGAAGACGAGAACCCTGGTAAGTAGGTAACATTTTTATTCACCACCCCGTCGAAAACAAACACATCCTGCGCAACCCATTTCTAATTCACAGTTGAACAGGTGGGAAAAATTATCAAAACGAAAGCCACTGAAGCGCATAAACCATGCAACAGAGTGCCACCTTAATTGCTCATCAATCCAATCCGGCCTCCTACCAAACACGTACTTTGCACAAGCCGCTCTGCGTGCTCGCTAGCCAATCCGACCGACTTCCCCTAAATGCAACCTAGAATCTTAACCATCCTGTACAAAGCTGGAGCCCCCAAACTATTTTTATGAAACATGTAGGCATTCCCATCGCCTTCTGCGCAGATGTAAACGCCTCAAGCACTCCTACATGCATACACAGTCAAGCTGCGGGCCTATGTAGAGAACCTGCTGGGGCCTAAGCATTAGCCTTGACCTCTCCTCCCATGCACGGCCCCCCGTACCTCCGCCTCGCACCACACATATAGTCGCACTTATACCAGAAAAAACCTCACTGCACTGCTGGGAAAGGCCCGTTCACTCCATAACAAGAGGCATATTCTACGTAATCCAGTTTACTCAATAAACACCCAAATTATGCTCCTTGCTGCAACTTGATGAAATGGCTTGACACACAAATTTGTCTATCGTGTCATGGGCTATAAAAAGCATGTAACCGGCCGCCAAGGTGGTAGAGATGGAAGTTTTATTATATATACGGACGATAAAATCACCACAACCACCGCAGTTGAGCAACTTCTCGACAACCTCCACGACCCATTTTGGATCACCGCCGAGGTGAACCAGCAGAGCTTCTTGTTAAGATGCATTTACTGCCCCGCGACAACAGCCGTGACGAGAGCTACTGAACCTATGTATTTCACATTATATTGACGCAATCAGTTATATACAAAATCGCAAGCGTTGATGTTAACATGCGCGACGTTAACTGGCTTCACCATACCTCTCCAACTTAACTTCTGCAATAGTCTCAACCACCACCACTCCAAGCTTGTCGTAGCACGTTCTAACGCCCACATAAAGTGCTAGCGTTTTAGACTGCATTTTTGTGATTGCCGGAACGGCTGAGACGGCCAGCATAAGCAACTGACAGTTAGGCAGCAAACACAACCTGGAGACTTTAAGCCTTCACCAGCCCACTAACGGCGTTGCGCTCTAAGCCCGTGAAGCTTACCACCGGCCATGCCAAATAGGGGTTGGGTTACCTTCGCTGTCCTAATAAAAGCAACCCTCTGAAGTTGGTTCTTCCTTACGCGAGGGTCCGAACAGGCAACCAATGCCCTCTACGCAAACTTCAGCGACTGTCTAGACGCGCTTGCCCCTTTCACGCGCTATGTGTCTTGCAGGCTAAACAAGGTGCTAACGGCGTATGCAGCCGTGGAGCTAAAATTTAGCAAACTGACACGCGCTTATAACCCAACTCATACTATCACCCTCGTACTAAAACTCCACTAACACAGCACCAAAATTGAGCTGAAACTTTTGGAAAAACGCCGCGATGAAGAACGTAATGCGTTCTCTTGCCCAAACAAAATGAAGGATGTAATCCAACTACTCAACCTTAGAGCTTATCGGGGTAACGTTACTTCTAGCTTGTCTCTATCATCTACTTGAGATCCGGCGATTATTAGCGACGTCTTCAGTCATCACTTCTGCTCAATCTTCAATGAGAACGATCGCGTTTGACCGTTAACGTCAGTTGAAGCACTCATAAATGACACACTGGATTCCACTGCATTCAGCGTAAGTGAAAGCAAGATGTCCACAACCCCGGTTTAGCCCTGCTATTGGGAAGGCCCTGACGGCATTCCCACAATATAGGAAAAAACATGGCGCCGACAAACCCCTTCTTCTAATATATCTATTTAATCCTACCATGCAATGCAGTCAGGTTCCGGTACAATGGAATCTTGTCATAGTAAGCCCGCGTCAGAAAACATAAACTTAAGGATAAAATGGCTAACTTTTGGCCGGTAAGTCACACTATCATCTTCCTTAACGTTATGGAGGAGATAATGAAGGACTAGACCTGAGATTTCCTTCCCTCGCGGAAATTCGTAAGCAAGGCGCAGCATGGGTTTAGCAAACGTTGCTTGCGTCGGTCATGCTTAATTGTGCTCCTGAAATGCAGTACCGACGCCAGACACATAAGCAAAGGGGACATCATTACCTCCTTAGGCATGTACCAGCATTTTAACTAAGTACCTTATGACCTACTTTTGACCACATTGTCTAACCATGGTATGCATGATCCACTACTCTCCTGGTATAAGCCGTACTTCGAAAATAAGGCTAAGGCTTCCTTATTGGCTCTAATAAATAAATAAATAAATATTTTATTCTCGACTATGCGCGACACGCCCATGGGGGCATGATCAGCTAAGTACAACTGTACAAACATTTTATGGCAGCTGTAACAGTGAGAGTAGCAAATCGTTCACATGTCCATGACTGGAACAGTGCAATAAATGAATAAATAGATAACTAGTTTATTCTCAGTTTCATAGACACACCAACTTAGGCATGATCAAGGTTTGAAAACAGATGTGTATCACGACGGTACATCGGGTTCAATCGTGTGTAGTTGAAACGGTGTAGGGAAGAGTTGATGTGTGAGTCTAGTCGACTTGCCAGTATGTAGTTGTGGGCGTTGACTTTATTCAGTGGCGAGTCACATCCGCCACGTCGCAGTGTTGTTAAACCGACATTTGTGGCTTTTTATAGGGAGAACGCTTGCCAAGCGAAAACCCACCACGTCCTGCAACACTGCCGTAAAGCATTTTGAACATTAATGTTGAACTGGCAAAGCCGTGTGACGACTGGTTTTACCTTCGGTTTTTTGCAGAGTAATGGCTTCTAATTTCCTCTGTTAGTTGGACAGGTAATTTGATCGGGGTCGCCATGATTTTTGAGGTCGGTGGAGGAAAGGGACATCGTGATTATTCTTCTTGTTGTATATCCAGGTGAGCAAAAGTTCAACTTTTCCGCTGTCCGGATTTTTCAGATGTATAATGTTTGGGAGTATGAAGATATGTCCAGTTCTCCATACTGGACAAGGGTTATGGTGATTGTAGTTCAGTCCTTTCGGAGATTTACCATGCACCATGTAAGTGTTTGTGGGTTGTTACTTCTGCCTTGGGCTAAAACTGTTCCTCAGTCCAATCCCAGGTCTCCGAGAAGTCCCGGACCTCAGAGAAAAGGGAAAGTGAGGGACAACCGAGAGAAGACCGCAAGAGCAGGCATGGAGTTGAACATTGTTAATGTCTTGTGTTACAACATTTGAGCTTGAGACAAAAGCATGTACACTGTGCAAAAATAATTATGCTGGAGATGTCTTTTGAATATCCTATAGAATCATTAGCCGTATGGGTGGATTGCTAACGCCTGCGTAGAGACAAGAGCGTTGTACCAGTAAGTAAAGTACGAAGTATCCGTTTAGTATGAGCCAATAGTATGAGCAAATCTATCCAGTCGTAGGTGTGTCAGAAGTGGAGCCATTCAGTGTAGCATACAATGACTACCGCTATTTTGTTATGCATCAACAAGGTTGTCAACGCCTTCGAACAACGTGCACCCTAGCTGTTTGCTGAGGACCTTAAGAGGTCATACCCTTTTTACCGCGCACCTCTGGTCGCTACACTTCTAAACATATAAGCTGACCATAATACACTTAGAAGGTGGCGTTCCATATTCAAAATAAGCCACTCCACTGAAAACGTTTTGTCGTTAAGTAGCAATGTAATCTTCAGATGTGCTCGTTACCTATTCAGGGTACACCGCTTATTCACGGTAGCCAAGTTCGCGAAGTAGTTCTACATAACACCAATACACTGAACGCCTCTGAACACGTTCAGCTCAATGCAGCCAAAGTTAAAAGTCAAAGCTATGTTTCGCAGCCTATTCGATTTTACCAAAGAAAATGGTTTACTTTACACGGCCTGCGCTTGCCTTGTAATGGGGTGCTGCTCAAAGGTTTACAGTAACGCTAACCATGCCGATACTAACTCACTTGAGCGGATACAGCGCCTTTTACTGGACAGAACCTTGGTCCAGCCCATAAATTCAATTATTCCACTCGCTGAAAGGTTCTGGGCCCAGATCCTGTGTGGAGTCGTAGGCTGGGGTTAAACCTCTCTCGACATTTTGACACTAACCAAGGATGTCTTCCGTCACTAGACATTGCTCAACAACTTCAACTGACGTAACACACATATAGCGGCGTTGATGGAAGGACGCTATGCTTTTGGGCAAGCAAACAAACAACCAATGGAGAGTGAAAATAACGGGTAAAAATAAGGTGTGGTTTATTTTTACTGCCGCAAAGTAAGGCTCGTATGGCTAGAGTAGAGCACCAAACGAAAGCTACCTGGGAAACGATGTTCCAGTAACGTAGGATCTTGAAGCCTGCGGTTGACTTCCTGAAGTCTGTGCGTATAAACAAAAGCCGTAAGAAAGCGACAGACACACCGCTTAATTTCCTGGGTACAGAAAAATATATAATTTAGTAATATGTTACACAGCACAGGGAAATCTCCAGTTCGCTATCGGCAGCTTACCCTTAGTTTCTGAAGACGCGCACATACCTTTGTGCAAACTACTGCTGGAACCGCGAAACAAACACCTGGAGTAAGGTACCTCGCTCCGTTAGGTAGGGTTTCTCACCGGAAAAGTTTCCTCACCAAGTTGACCATTTTCTTTCGGTCTCAAATTCCATTGAGATGTTATCCCACAACCTGCTAATGAGTTTAGCCAAGCCGAAGGAAGCTATGGGCAGATGACTTCCCTGCCATGTTCGCCCTGTCATCCGCAACACTGTACACACCCTCTCTAATCCGCCGGCCTGATCCGCGTACGTCCGGTCTGTCACCAGACAACAGAGGGCTACTACCTAGGAGACTTTCTTATTTTGCCATGAGTTTTTTCATCCCCAAAGTAAACTACCTAGCTCTACCCACAAGTAACCGCCGTTAAATCAGCTCACGTCAGGCTCTTTACAGTTATCTCGCTTGATACATGAAGATAATTCGCTTTTGCTAACGAATGAATCCCGTTCACTTACTCCGAAAAACTTGTATTTGCTATTCCTCCAAACTTTTAAAGGGTTGTGCGACTCACCGACTGCGGGACCTCCTTCCCATATTAGGACCTAGTATCTCTATAGCTCTGGCTTTTATTTACCCTACTCACCACCTGCCTTCGCTGCACCATCTACTTACTTTTGACACTGTGGCTTTGCACATATGAGCGAATGACCTAATGTGTTTGTCAATTTTGCCCACCTATTTCCGTTCCCAAGCTGACATCGTACGTTAGATCCAGATAGTTTGCTCCTTTTTAAGCACAACAACTGCATATTCTTGCTTCACTTTGCTTGTATCTTGTCTATATCAATTCTTTTTCT